TTGTTAATCGGCGAAGTTTTTAACTGCAGCGTGTGCATGTGTTGATACTTTGGCCACTTTACCGAAGTAATAAGGTATTAAAACTGTTTTAACAGCCATTTTCCCACCACTTTAAATCCTGTAAAACACCCGTAGCCCTAAAAAAACTGGCGTTTTCTAATCTCTTCATATCGCGGTTTTCCTCCGCTTCTTTGTCGGGATATTTACTGTATTTGCGAGATATTTTGACATAACATGGGAAATTAAAAAAAATAATAAAAATTTCCGAAGCTTTTCTTATTCTGTACAGAGAAACAGCGGCTACTGTTTCACCAGTAAACAGTCAATCACCAGAATCACGCAAATGTTTCTCGTTATACGTGTCTTTGCATTTGCCATTCAAATCAATATTTATACCGGAACATCCAGTTCAGTGTTACTGGTTTAAATGGAGCCCCGATATAACAAAAATCTAAAAAAATTTACGGGGAAAGTATAAGTGGATATGTTATGGGTTAAATTTCCTGAGCGTATACTGAATATCACGTCTGACTGAGATACTAAAGTTTTTAACCGTACAAGTCATAAGAAGCAATACATTGACAAGGAGAGTAAGGTGGTCTGATTGGCGCAGATTCAGAACCAAGATTCCAGATTTCAGATTTTTTTTTGCTTTTTTGAACTATTACCAGATTTTACTTTACACATTACAACTATATAACATTAACCGAAAGAAAAAGAACACATAAATGATAAAAGGTAAAATGTGCGCAGGAAACAAAGTAGCTTAGGGACAGCCTACGCGTTGGTTGACTACTAGGCGCAATTATTTGACTTAACTGGTGTAGACATTTACATAAAATTACAAGAAATGAAGAGAGAAAAAAGTGTAAAGTCTCTACCATACTTACTTTTGATATAAAAAAGGCAATATAATGCGACAGATACTAGTAATAACTATTAATAACAGGCACTGGCAGAGAAATCGAATCAAATTTAGACTACGAGTAGTCCCCCATTTTTCCTTAGGGATAGTAGAGCGAGCAAAACGCGAGCGCGAGTGAAAATCAAGGAAAAATGGGGGACTACTCGTAGTCTAAATCAAATTAGAAGTAGAGTATCAGCTGCAATGTTCTGTTATTGTTACAGTGGTGTTTTTTGCTCACCTGAAATCAAGACAATCCGAAGTCCAGGCCCGGGTTGCTTGAAGCATGGTTAGTGCTAACCAGCGTTAAATACCATGGAAACCTATACATTTCGATACCTCTTAAACAACGGTTAGCGCTAACCAGGCTTCGAGCAACCGGCCCCAGTGTGGTAAAGCAGTAACGAAAAGTAATTTACCAACCGCAAATTCTAACGGCCCCAAAAAGCTAAACAATGACCACATTGCTATGGTTACGCGTGGCGTCATAAACACGATGCCAGTGCATGCGCGAGCTGGAACTACCGTCCCTGACTCGTCCCCAGTCGTCTCCAAGTTGTCTCTACTCATTAATTATTTACTAGGGAAATGAGCGCTTGGGTTATGCGCGCGGGTTCCGTTTTAGTCTTCCACGCCAAATACTAATAATGATAGACGACAGGGGATGTTTTGTAGCCAATTTTCTACCGTACATTTACCATGGCTATCTAAAACTACATAAAAAGTGGTAAAGAAATGCAAGAATAATCTTCCTTTTTCTTGAAATTAATCTTGATGAGCATTAACACTCACCGTTCACTCACTCACTCACCTGGCAGCACTGGAGCTCTCTGGGGCCCCCAGAAAGCTTTTTTCGCAGGTTAGATGAGCATGCCTCTCAAAGTTACATGGTTATTTTGACGCACATAGGCATCAAGGCTTAGGTATCGATGAAGCTTAGGCAAACCTTAGCTTCAATGTAATGATCCCGAGCCCCGGCGCATAATGCAAAAACGCGTGTAACAAAATCCTAGTAGATACTCGATGTGACATTTCGTTCCACTTTTCGCGCAACGTTCCCTACCCGATTACGGCACTTATGTAGTAAAGCGGAAAACAAAAAAACAAAATCAATATTTTTCCTCAGGGTTTGCTGTAAAACCTCGATCAAGTTGGATACAGAATGCAACTTTGTAGTTGTGTGTATGTTGCATCAAGTGTTAGCGCCTTAACTGTGGACTTACGGTCACCTCATTATTACGACCACTTTTTTTTGGCCGCCCGACAAAAACGACCATACATTTTCTTGTAAAGAAACCCTCCTTAATACGGTCACCTCGTTGTTACGGCCAAATGTTTTTGGCCCATTGGTGACCGTATTAACGGGGTTTCACTTTAGTTGGGGTAAAACTGAACATCATGATAAATACGTCTGAATGCCATGTATGAAAGAATTTGGTTGCTTGAAAACTAATCTGCTACCATGGAAACCTTGAATAAATTGAGTACAATCCTTTAGAGATGAGATTTCCGAGATCGGTTGAGAACCAATAAGATGTAACCAATAAGACACATGTAGTACCGACTTCTAAATCACGAACGGGGCACTCGGTTATTCAACAAGGAGGCAGCGTGGCAGAGTGGTCGTCGCGTCGGACTCACGATCCGGTGGTTACGAGTTCGAGTCCCGCTCCATTTGTTCTCGGTCTCGAGTTCAAATCCTCGGTAGCCTGCGTAGCATGCGCTTGGAAGTAGTGGGCACAAGAAAAAACGGGCGCCAGAAGGAGACACGCGTGTCTCCCTCGCACGCGCCCGTTCTCTCTTTCGCCCACTTCTTCCAAGCACCTGCCACGCAGGCTAAATCGTTGGCCACACTTTTAAAATAGCCAACTGGTTGCCTACTGCCAGTTAGGCTTTGTTATAATCCCGCTATGTTGTATTTGAATAGACCTTTTTATCGATACGACGGCCATATTGAATTAATTAGATTTAAGGAGTATTATGGGATGCCCAAGGGGCATGAGCGCGATTCGACATACTCGCTTAGTATGGTATTTACGCGCCCTTTAATTTTCGGGCCAATTTTTCTTAAAGTTTTCCTAGAAAGATATTGAAATGGGAGAAAAGATCTTTGTGTCGTGTTGGATTTAATAATGATCGCCTTTTTCCCGAGAAATATAGTGAAGTTCTCTTTTTGCCTGAAAAGCGCGCGTGAAAAATACTGAGCGAGTGCCCCCCTTGCATCCCATAATACTCCTTAAATCTTATTTATTCAAAATGGCCGCCGTATCGTAAAAAGGTCTATTATAAACAAGCCTTTAAACCTTTCTTTTCTTTTTTTTTTTATAGGAAACACTATTTAGAGCGATCTGATTAAAACAAGTAGTAACCTTGCGGTTGTATCCTCATACTGAGAGAATAGAAGAAAATATGCCTTTTTATTAGTACTAAACATAAACTGCTTTTTTTTTAGAATGACTTTCTCTACATCATATCAAATACGAAAATAAAGAGTTGTAAAAATTTTTACCAGTAGATACGCTTCTATATAAGAGATTATAAACTATAGGAACGTCACTTGATAACAATTAAATACTTTAAAAAATATAAAAAATGATCTTCTTCCCGGAGGCAAAATGATGTCTATTTTTTCGGCTCCTTGAACATGGCTCACTAGCAATTGCCTATATGAAATGTTCAGTAAAATAAATGCTTTATTCAATTCGTGCTATAGATACTTTGTATATAAAAGCTCCTTACAGAAGCACAATGTTGGTAAGATTCTCCCTTTTTATATGAGGAGACCTTTGAAGTTTTCTTATTTGACGAGTAGTCTCTCATTTATCTCTGCAGCTACAGACGATCAAACGTGCATGCAAAACAAGTGCGCCGAAAACCAGCCAAACTCGCAAAGATAATTTTCTGGCGAATTAGCAGCGAACGGTAAAAAACGTGTTTTTATTTGAGGTTATTTTTTGTCCGCGCTTATGTAATAGCTCACTCCATTAAAACCGAAACAGGAGAAATGAGGAATTCATCAAAGTGTAACTTGCTCTAGACATGTCTTCATTGAAGGCAAAGATTTCGGTAAACAATAAACTCAGCTGAGTAAGCCGTCTCACTGTTGACGAACTGCTCTATGTACGATGATTACCCGCGCAAAAAATTCACTTTTTAAGCACCTAGAAAACTTCTAGCGTATAAAAAAGGACTAAAAGAACAAATAATTTCTCTGGAACAAAGGCTCTTCATAACATTTTGCCACCTCTTTACGCGAATGTTTTCTCATCAACTGTTTAGTACAGAGAAGGATCGAATGTAGGTTATAGAATCCAAAAAGAGCATCTTTCGGTGTTTGAACGCAAATACCCATCAAAGGCCCTAGAGCGGGCGGAATCGTTCATGTCTCCACCACTCCTCCCCTGGTGTCTTGTGCTCGGCACTCACACGTCACTTCAGGATATTGCCAAAGGTAGTGGATAAGAGGAATAAACATACAGTCTGAATCTCGATAACTCGAACAACTCAAAATTTCACTGGAATTTACCCCGATAACTCGAATTCCCCACTAACTCAAACTGTTTTTCGTTTCCCTTCAGAGTTTGAGTTACCGGGGTTCTACTGTATTTCGTTCCAATCACTCTCTTAATGGCAAAAAAGCCTTCAAATATATATATTTTTATAAAGAACTTCTCCGAAAATAGAGACGGGTCTTGCATCTTCTCAACGCCCGCAATGACCCACTAATATTTCGTTCTTCCTTGCGCTTTACTATACTACGATCCTGACGTATTCTTTTCCTCGAAACGTGACACAAACATTCTACTGTGTTTACTTATAAATTTTTGTATTGCTCTAACTTCTAACTACCCTACGAGCAGAGGCTACATTTTCGCGGTATGAGCTGGCGCGCGAACTTTTCGCACGCCAGCTCATACCGCGAAAATGTAGCCTCTGCTCGCAGGGTAACTTCTAACCTGAAGAACAGGTTCTTCTACGGTGGACAAGCATGTGATGTGAGACTAAGGAGGGTGCTACGTAACTCCTATTTAGCTGTATCCGCCTTTCTAATTTTTTCTACGACTGATGCTCAGATTTCTGTCAGCAGAATGTTATGTTAATCAGATTCTGTAGAATCAAGCTCCTGTAAGAAAGCCTTCAGCTGCTGGAACGCAGAACCTGATCGCACTGGAAAAGCACCAGGTTCTTCCTCGTTCCCTTTGGTTTTTTGATAACTTATCCCATTTTCCTCGTCCTCCGTTGCTGTTTCTTCCAAGAATCGCTTTATTTCATATATAGCATAAACTTCATCTACAGACTTGGCTGGCAACGAAGGTGCAGTTTCCTCGGGGGTAGGCACGGGAGAAAGTTCTTCCACTTCCTCGTTCTCGCCTTCCGTGATCATTGACAGACCGCGCACGGACGGTTTTTTCTTTCTACTGCGATCCCTTGTCACGGTGCTATAAAGCGAAGTCTGTTCTTGCTTTTCAGCATCTGTATCCGCGTGTATCTGTGGAGCAGCTGGTTCTTCCTGCCCCGTACTTCCTTCCTCAAGCGGCTTGGGGCTTTCCTGCCGTTGAACATTCTGTACCAAATCATAAAGCCCTTCGGCGCTCTCAACCGTGTTTTTCTTCGAAGACTGAACCATTTCGTAAGTGGGAGGGGCAGATTTTGATGGAGGCCTCGAACCAACTAGCTCGTACATTACAGCGTCATCTTTATTTCTTTGTGCTCTCGGCAGCGTTGCAGGACCAACCAAACCGTACTCTCCTTGTCCTTGAGAAGAAGCTCCACGCTGGTTACCTGGCTCGCTTACACTCGAGTACAAGAGGTCGGCTGCATCAAACTCATCCAAGCTGTGATCAGTACTGAGACTGCGCAGTGAACGACTTGAAACTTCTTCGTATTGCGAAGAAATGGGATCTTGACAGCTAAAATCGCCGTAAAGAAAAGAGATCATGTTTTCAGATATAAGAGAGAGCACTTAAGGAAACAAGCTAATCGCTTAATTTTTGAAAAGTGATAAAAATAAGTGCATGGCATAGCCAGGCCTCATCCATGATCAAGTGGACAAAAGTTAAGAAAGTGTTCATCTCACTACGTATTTCACTCGAAGAACTGATTAAGATAGGTCACTGATTTTACATCCAGTGCTTGAGACGTTAACGCCACCATTTCTACGTGGTCACCCGAAACCTGAGTCAAAGGTGTAGCCTTTTGTATCTGATGATACAATTATTTTTGTCGACTCTTGTGTTTCTGAATAAAATGAATTTAAACAGAAAACACTACAAAGAACGGTCGCAAATGAAGGCTTAGCCGTCTGCTCTCTGTCTCACACGCAGACAAATTAAAAAGAAAGCCTTCTTACCTCAAACTACGGTTGCGTTTCTCAATGGATTTCAATTGCATGGCTTGCCTCAGCACACTCACCCAGTCTGTGAGTAATTCCGGTGTAGGAGCAGACTGTAACAGAAAAACACATATTAGTTATAAAAACAAGAAGTAAGAGAATTTACAACATGCAATTAGGATCAATTAGCCCTATTCTTTCCGGATCCGTTTTGATACGAAAAAATATATATATAATCCTATACAGGAGCTTTTGATTCAGTCACTTTCCACCATAAGCTCTTATGATTGATTACAAATGATCAGAGTTCTATACTGCATCAAGTCAGGAGAAAGGTGTGCCAAAATTATCCGGAAACACACTGCTTATTCTTCAGCAAAGTTCGCTTCTATTTGAGGCACCACACTTGACATAAAACATAAAAATTCACTAATTCTCTGAGAATCGCACCGAAAGCTCATTTGTGAATAAATTTTGTGAATTTATAAAAATAAAAATGACGATAAAGCCAATTATCGCTAAAGGAACTGGATTGTATTATATAATCTTTGAGCGTCTGTCTAATTTCTTATATTACTCGTATGACTTATTTGCCTACTTTTTGCAATACTAAAAAGATTTTAACCTCGTTCTCTTTAGTTGAATGTGTCAATTAGAGCTCCAGAACTCCCACGCATCTCAAATGCAAGCTTATAACGGTACGTTATAAGAATCACCTAAATGATCTGATAGACGCCGGGGTGTCTTAGGGGTCCAAGATCAGGGCCAGAAGGGGCCAGACTAATAGATGGGAGGCATTTGAAAGAGAGAAGCGTTTATTCTCATTACTGTAACAAGCTTAACAAAACTAACATCTGTAATATGCCTTGGGGCGAAATATCAAGAGATTTTAATCCACTCCGTTCATTGATACGGCTAGGTCGTCTAGAGATCCGGCATATCGCCCTTTCAATCTCAACATCGATGCCAGAATCCTCAGAATCCTTATTCAGTTTCATTGTGTTGTCATCGTTTAAGCCTATCCTTACTTGTTAATCAAGCAAAAAAGTGAATAAATCGAATGATTTTACTCCTTTTTGATAATTCCTAGTATATTTTTGAGTTATTGGGGACCTTAAGATCCGACGACGGCGGCGGCAGCGAAAACGTCGCTCAAAAAGTGAATTCGAGTTCTATCAATCTTCATCGCGACTACTCCAAGTCACTAACTTTGTCAGATGTAGGTGAACCCTCACTAAAATTAAGAACCATATTCAAGTTCAGAAATAGAGAGGAAATTTCGTCGTCGCTTGTGTACTTCCTCTGTAAAGCGTGAAATTAGGCATTTTCACGTCGTAGTCGCGCAGTGACGGCAAAGAAATGTACAAAAAAATCATGATGCACGTGCAAAATTGTTGTTTTGGTTATTAAACCTAGTGCTTTTTTGACGTCTTCGTTGCCGTCGCCGTCGTCGGATCTTAAGGCCCCTAATATTGTCAATAGGGGGCGGCTATCAGACAGGGGGCGTTTATTAGAGAGGGGCGCTAATATAAACTTAACATTGTAAAGGGGGCGTTTAATGTGATTAGATAAGAGGCGTTTATATGAGAGTGGGCATAAATTAGATCATTTACGGTTATTAGTCTAACTTACAAAAGTGTACGTCCTGCTCTTGGTAACTATCTGAAATCCATTGTTCACCATTTTGACAGGATTAACTGCTTTAACCTAATTCCAAAAAAATAAAGAAATGGAAAAACTGAACTATAAAAACATTAACGACATTGCCCATCAAGACAAAATTCCTACACTTGACCGTGTGGCTTCAGTAACTGAATTGGACGAAATTAGAGCAAAGCGATTCTGGAAAACATCCCCGGATATTCATAGATGTGAAAAAATTCTTTAAAGGTATAAAAATTCATAAAAAATTTCACTGAAAAAATACTTGTGAGTTTCTTACTAAAAAAGACAAGTCACCTGGCTAAAATCGATGTGTCCAAGGTAATTTTCTTCCTGTCACAAAAAAAGACAAAGATTTAAATACAAATAATTTAAAGATGCATTAGTAGTTTGGTGTTGATCCAAATGCGAGCAATTTTTCTAGTGATGAACACGTCCTTAATACATCTCGCGTATTTTGATTGTCTGTATGACTGTGTAGACTACTCGTTAACTTAAATTCAAAGTTGGTGGGATTTTGGGCGTGGTCAGGGTATCCTAGGGTGCCTGCGAGCCCTGTAACAAAGACAAATTGAAGTAGTAAAACAATCAGGCCATCGCTCTGTATTCTGAATAAAAGTTACAATAGGTTTAATAAGTTTCAAAAAGCAGTGGTACTGCGTTGGTGGGCGAATAAAACACAAATGAAATATGGTTTTATCAACTGCTTCTAAATTAAAGGTCAATGTGCCACCATAAGAATATTGAAAAAATGACATTGCGAGCATTCTAATGAACGATGAGTACTCATGAGAACAATTAATGTCAGCTTTTCAATCCTTCTATGCAGCTTACACTGTGTGAGTAATCAATATGCTAGACTTTCTCTTTTCATGAATTTTTAAAAGGCTGCAGGAGTGCAGGGTGGTGGACTGGTTTGTTCCCATTTTCTAATGGGCTCTGTCATAAGATCCTACTTATTGAAAAATCCTGCCTAGAGCTGACCATGGAGCTGTCCTAGTTAGTTTTATAAGGCATGAAGCAATAAAGTAACAACTTTTAATGTACCTTTAATATTTGAATTAGCTGCAGTTTGTTGGGAACTTTAGATCAAGCCCAAAAAAAAGAAAGATAAACAATCTTGGAGACCCAGGGGTACAAATTATTAGTATATTTAATAATCTGCCTAATGAATTCAACGTTGATTAGAGAGATGTGTGTCAAGGGTCGTGCATTAATTTATTGGTAGCCATGGCAACCTGATGCAAAAAAACAAAAAATAAATGCTTACAGTTCAAGAAGGCACGTAGTTGACATGTATAATGTAGTAACATCCTGAATTCCCTAAGTGACACTAAACTCAAGATGACAAGCATTAACTCCCTTAATATGGGAGTACCCCATGGCCATAAAGGAGTCTTTAGCAAGACACTAATTTCTTAATTCAACATTAAGTTATGTTTATCACATACCGTTTTCTCAGGAGCCTTATAGTATGTCAAGTCCTGTCCATCTAGAGTGAACCATCTTTTTCTAAAACCCTTGATATAACAGACAATAATGATAAAATGATTTATATTTGCTAAGGAAGTGCTAATATTCCCAATGTGCAGAAAAGTCTACTGAAAAGTGAGCACATTGTTGTCCAGCCTGCTGCTCCAGGCAATAATGGGATCCTTACTTTGTGATTTAGCACAGAAAGGAGCTGACTAGATCACCTCCTTATTAAAACTCCTGTGAAGGTTAAGTCTGTTACGGGAAAATTTACTGGTGCAAGCACTTTGAATGATATTACTTGATTCCAAACTATATTTGTTATGGAAATATTGAACTACATTTTTTTTTAAATTGAGTACTTCAGTTGTGAACATATATCTTTACTAAATGTAACAACATATCTATTTTCTGTTTTCCAAGCGCAGGGGTGGGGGGCGGGATTCCCTAAAATATTGGCCTATAAGGGAGGCTCCACCCAAAAGAGGTGCCTTTTTCAGGCCTTAGGTGTATGAACTGGTAGCCATTAAAAGGGATGTAGTGTTGTAAATTAAGTATGCGAAAGGGGTACTATTTGTCAATAGAAGTTACACGAAAGGGGTAACCTTTTCTGTTAAAATGGTTATGGGGCTGGAACTTGGGGCAAAACCTCCCCACATAAGACTTTGGTAAGTACCCCTAGGGGGTGAGGCCTAGGGTGCAACACACTTAAAGTATGTAAAGCCAAACCCCTCTGTTTCCATTAGCTTATGAGGCAAGAGCAGTAATGGAAGGAAGAAGGAATGAGGGACTGGGGAGAGGGATGACCCTTTACATAGACTTTTTGGCTTGAGGCTAGACCCTTGAATGTTTTGTTTTCCTAGTTCAGACCAGCAAAGGAATTTGCCTTTTTGTCTTTTCAAAAATCATGCATTCAAGGGCATGTGGATAGGACAAATAGTGTGAAGTGGAAAAACCTTACTAAGGTCTATTATGGTAAAGATCATTTTTTATAAATTTTCTGCAGGGGACACTGGTGACTACAAACTTCAAATACCTTGTGTTATTTGCTGATCATGATATGAGTCGGTTAATTATGTGTAGATAAATGATAAAAACAGAAATTATGGCCTAGTTGTTTGGGTACAATTCTGATAAGCGACATGGCCTTGAAACAGCAACATAGAGTGCTGTCAACTCTCCCACATAATCCGGGAGACTCCAGATTTTGAACCCTATCTCCGGGTCTCCAGATTAGAGGCTGAAATCTCCCCGATAATCGCCAAAATTTGCCATTTCTTGTAGACTCGCGACTCTCTGACAATGAAATTTCAATTGAGCTTTTTTATTTTATTTTATTTTTTATTCTATTTTTTGTTTTTTTTCAGCTATTTTATTAACATTGAACATTTCCTCAGATACTCTGGTACGCCATTGAAATATAAGCAATGTCGTGACTGGTGGCAAGTTAACCAATCAGGTCAAATGTCACAATTTTAACAATATCTTTTTCGCGGGTTTTTGGAGAAATGACGTCATGTGCTGTGCATTTCTGACGTCATCTACCAATTCTCAATATTTGAAGACTTAAGGGGTTGACAGCCCTGAACATAAGACAGATGAAATGACAACAAACGACAAACATGCAGATGGGTTAAAGGTGCACTGCAACAGTGATGACGACAAGTGGAGATACATTTATAGTAAAATACCCTAAGCAGTGCATGACTTCCTTCTCAATAACATCCAGCTTTAAAATTCAGATCAGAGGTATGTGTACCACCCCCTCCCCCCTCCTTACACTATTAAGAGGGCATCACAAGTGAGATGCAAGTTACTGTAGGAGAATGGTTTAGCAAAGTTTTGGTGTTTCAGGTGTTTCCTGAATAAAAAATATGCCTACTAAATTAACTTAACGTGCTTCTATATTAAAATGCCTTATAGATAAAATATAAAGCAAAATGGGTCCTTAAAAAGTTAGCAATACGGGCACACTTGCCTTACACGCCCACTATTCAATATATACCTTAACACTTTATTATGAAGCAAATTTCATATTACTGCTGTGTAGGTAAACGGATTAAAATGGACAGCATTGGGTTCGGATGTATTTTAGCCGTCAGGGTGGCCGGTCATCCTTAATATACAACCCAAACCGGGCATATCCTCTGGGGGAAGGGGGAGGGGGAGGACATATAGGCATGCAAAGCGGAAGTCGTTGAGGAGTATGTAAACAGTGTTAATTTCTTTAAGCTGCTATTAAATGATGATCGAACTCTAACTGACTTTCATAAAGTGAATAACAATAGCCAAGTAGATCAAGAGTAAACCAAGAAAAATAGAGCAATCATTCAGTAACTGTAACAAACATTCAATCGAAAGCTAAATCGCGATATATATTGCTTCAGCGAAAGTTGTTTCGATATTATATTTCAAATATTTTTCTTTAAAAACCTTTATAAGCCTTGCGAGAGAAAATTATTTAATAATTATGTTATTATGTGTTCTCAATGTGTATTTACAGAAACAAATATGCCTACTAGCTTCCTTAGCAATATGGAAATGTACCTTATAGAGATGCCCAGCTGCGCCCGCGTGTGTACTACAAGTCCAATTTCGTTCCCTTCTTCAACCACTTTTGGCCTAAAATGTCTTAGCTGACTTCCTTAGTTGTTTTTTTACGCAGCCTGTACATTGATTTCAGTCTAGCAAGTATGATATTAAACATGTTTTGGTTTAGCGCTGTAAATTAAGTTTTGTTATGGAATGCAGATAAACACATACCTCGAAGAACCTTTTTCCAGCCTTGTCGAGTACCCCTTCAAAATGAAGTCGTGCGTCGCTCGAAGTAGACATTATTAACGGAGGATTTTTTAATCCAGGAGTTAATCATCTAGTCTTGATGGTACAAGTTTTGCGCTCTTTTGATCAAGTTTGCGGTAAGTTGTTCACAACCAGTGAAAATCGACAACCGTGACCCGGAAACTGCTGGAGAATATGAACTTTCGTGGGAAGGATCACGGAAGTGTTTACGAAGATTTCACGAAAATTATCGAGACTACGTGGCCTTCACCGAAGACGAGCGATGGAGGATGCGCACTTGACTTGATCGGAACACTGACAAAGAGGAGGGAAAATTTAGTTGTAGGAATGGGAGGTTCAGACAGCAAACTAAATTTTAGGAAGGCTGTCGTTCAGCTAACGACAAAAAAGACGGTAAGGCAAAATGTCATGATACGTTTTGCGACGAATCTTTTCAAATTTCCCATCGCAAGTTCGGAGTGTTGTCGTTTGCACCTGATCAATTGCTCGGTCAGTGGTCGCGAACTGTCTACACTGATTTTGTTTTTAGGCCGTTGAAGCAACCGATGACACGTTTTGGGAGCAATTTTGGTCAGAATCATCGGCGAATATAAGTGATGTCTTTACTTTAATTCCTGGCTCAGAAATAAGATCTTTGCGAGACGAAAATCCGTCAAATTTGGCAACACTATGTTATAAGGTGAGTGGAAAATACTGTACTTACGCTAAGCGCTTTGTCAACGTTCAAAATTCGTACAAACTACTAAAAGCTTCCAAGATTCTTTATTGCATGATTTTAAATTTATCTCTATGATTAATTAATTTTCTTTTGTCTCAAACAGCAATAGAACAGTAGAAAGTATGACTTCGTTATGCTTAAAATATTATCGGAGCGCTCGTATAATAATAAGCTAGCTTAAATTTTTATAAACTAAACTTGAATTTTTTGCACTTGATATGATTGACCACACAACAAGAAAGAATCTCTTGTTAAGACAAAATAATAGTAATGTCTTGAAAATTAGTCATCAGGAAGTGAAGTATTATAGGCATGAAAATAATTTTATGTAGCTGAAAGACTCAAGGAGTTAAAAGTTTTTTGAAATCCCCTGCAAGAAGTATGTGATAAACCAAAACACTGAGTCTGTGCAGGTGTACAATGATTTTCCTTATCTTTGGAGCTTCGGTGGAATTAAGAGCTGCCACTTAAGTTATTCTGCGAAAGTGACCAATAAATGTATTGATATTTAATGGTCTTTCTCATGATTTCCACTTACTCAACGGAATATTTTAGCAGAACTGATCTTTTGAAACATAAATAATTTACAAGCTCCCACTTTAGATTTGCCCTGTTTAGAATAGTTAATTAATGTTTTAATTTTTTTCCTTGTGAAATATTATTTTGAAGTTCATATTTGTTTCACCTCCTAATGTGACATTTATTTATTTATTTTACATATATTTGTCATTCATATTTGCAAAATATGGCTAGTTAGCCTCTCAAATCATAAAATGTTGTTAAAATTTCTGTGCAGCCCAAGGATTTATTATGCAGAAATTGTGTACTTCACACTTCATTTATGACGGTTATTTTTTATATCATCACTATGGTATTGCTATGGTCATGAGGATTGCTGAATGAAAAAATCAACTATTACAGGGAATATATGGAAATGACAATTATTTTAGTCACTGAGATAGACGTTAGTTCTATCTTAGGGTTAGTTTTGGTATGCAGGGTACAAAGAAAATATATTTTCCAGTTTCCCCTTCTTGTAAAATGCAAGTATAGGGTGTATTAGGTCAGAAACATTTTCAACAGCACTGTTAATTCATTATTACATAACAATCATTCCCGAAGACCCGTCTCGGGGATCATTCAACAACATTAACTAAGCCTGAGGGGAATAATGTTTTAGTATGTACACACGAGGTGATCTTAAGAGAATCAGAAAGGAAACCATTAAAAAAAATAAAACGATTAGTTTGATTAGGGGATGAATTCATGCATGTAGCCGTTGACAGTAGATGCGCAAAAGTTAGATTTTTACAGTATGTTCAAAGTACGTGGCAAATCATAGTTTTAATCTTTTTGTAAGCTTTAGCATCAATGGTTTATAGTGCGACCAGGAAAACCGTGAACACTTGAAATATTTCAGGAATGTTTATTGTGTGATGACCAATCACAGCAAAGATCAGGACATACGAACTAGCCACAAAACCACAAACTAATTAACGTTCCTGCTTGCGTTTCAGTTTTCTCACCCCTAATTGGCTTTTTTCTTGCAACACAATTACATTCCAGAAATATTTCTGATGTTCACAGTTTTCCCAGTTTGATTGTAAAAGAAAACGTCAAAGTTTAAATTACTATTCCTTCTGAGAAGAAACATAGAGCTTTATATTATTTGCTTTCGTCAACTAACCCTGAATGAGAAAGTTTTTTTTTGTTGCTTCTTGCAAATGTTGTCAACAGTGCCCATGATCGAGGTGAACGTTGTTTATCTGTAGTGTTCTTTGCCTTGTTAACTTGCTGGCACGTACAATTTTCGAAAATATTTGCATCCCTTCCTTTTTTTCTCCATAAGTGAATTTGTATTTATTGGCAAAATTGGTATTGTGAGGAAATCCCAAGTTCACAAAACAGTGACAAAGCAGCCTTGTTAATTTTGCTCTGTAGTGGTAAACATTGCTTCAAGTGTATAAAAAAGTCAGGTACAGTAAATCACTTGACAATAAATCAGGCTGTTGAAACACCATGAAGTCTTTTCTTTCCTTCAGAATCATCCACACTAGGATGTTCTTGTATTGGCAAAAAGTTCTTACTCTGAAACTCTGGCAAAACAACCAGTTTACAACAGCGATTTTGTTTTGCTTTATATTCACCACCTAGGTGTGATAGTCTGTGATATTGATCTAATCAGATTGCTTGAATCACCAAGAGCATTGAGTGTGTATATACTTAAGTCAATTGTAGGAAGTGACTTTTTTTGCACACTGATATCGCCTACATTTACATGTACAATCATCCAGATTGCTAGACATTTTTCAGTTATCACATTGATGTACACAGAACCACGTGTGAAAGTACTGCATGGTTAAATTATGAATGGGTTTTTTCTTTGTTTCATATTCATTAGCATACATTACTATATACAAAAACAATTATGAAATAAAAATTAACTGTAATAAAAATAAACTACAACATAATTATACTTTCCTGCAAAAACTGAATGTAATTAAACTGAACCATTTTTGTTTTTAAAGAGAAACTTGGGTGTGTAATAGTTTCCACATTTCTCATTTATGTTTGTTGAAAAGTTGTTATCAAGAAGGTGTTTTCTCAGCTATACTATCTAACTCATACCAAAAAACAACAATGGTGGACTTCCTTATTATAAATCATGAAAATCATGAAAAATCAATGATATTTATTTGTCAACTGATTTGTCACAGCAATTTAGTTTATCAATTTTCACCCATTTCTGTTATCAGTCGATAGAAATCACCTGATTGCTACCGATTTTCATTGATTGACTACTCCAGGAACTTAATAAGTTGTTTTGTGGCATAGTAACTGTCTTTAACTCTGTTACTATGCCTTCAAATTGACGGCCAGTGTTTGCCAGTTTAGTTTCTCAATAAACTTTGTCAAATGTTGAATCCTTATGTTTATCGCTCAATATTATTCACGTGCCACACTTGTGAATAGAGAGCAGAAGATCATAGAGCAGAATGGCGCAAGTTTATTTATGACATGTACTTGTAAATAGGACGGAAGATAACTAAAGGAAATATGAAAAGTATAATCGGAGAATTTCTTTGTACGTAATGAATAAGACTTGTTGATTTTTCCACTATTCTCACAAAAGGTTGTGCTCTTAGGAAAATTAAAGGGAGCCCAGTGCTCTTAACCTTTGAAACCTTGGGTGCCCAGCATGTGATTTGTATGAAAAAACTAAGATTTTCTAGTCACCTTACAGCAAAATTTGGGTGCCAGGGGCCACTGGGTGCTGTTAGAGCACAGCCCTGTTACAGTTGAACCTTTCTACAGGTACTAGCGTCAACGTCCTCTTTACAGTGGCGTCTCTCCACAATTGTCACTTACCTCTGTCCTCAAAGGTGGCTGTTGTATGGACACTGAACAGTATTTTGTGCTTTGTAGATCACATTATAGGTGATGGTTGCAGGAATATAATGATTAATGATTGCCTTCCCTTGGGTGGAGGTTAGATAAAAATGGTAGATAGCCAGTAAGGCATGTTACATGTACTACAGTACATGTACAGTTGGCTAAAAATATCACATATCCAGCAATCTTGGTGGAATTATAAGAAAGTTTTACAACTCAATTGTAAAACGCAGTTAATGAAGCGTGACGCCCTCACTCAACAACATGTAACGCAGTGTTATGCTATAGCCCTTATCAAATCTCGTAGAAGTTTACTCGTGGTGGGTAAAACTACTGGGTAGTACGTAAAATCACGGCTATAGCTGGGAAACTACTGATACAATAGCAATCCTTGTTTTTTGTGGCAGTTGAGGCTAGTTTCTGATGTATCGCTCGTTTTGTATGGCTAGTAAAAATAATTTTCCTCATGCATATCTCGTGGAGCACTTTAGGTGCACGTTCTGTTCTGTAGTACAGTATTTTTCATTGGCTTACCTTGTGATAGCACTCGGACTATAAAAGGCCTAGTAAAAGTCCTGTGCCTCATTCCGAGCTATATTGCGAAGTTGGTTACTTCAACCGTCCTAAAGTTTTGTAATTCTCGTGCTTGTCAATGGCTCGTCCGCGTAAGCAAGTTTCCAATGGCCGCCCTCGAAAACAAAACGATTTGGCTTCGCTTTCGACCGAAGTTCTACGCCTTCGCCTTCAAGCACTCAACCTTCCGATCACGGGAGGCAAAGCAACCCTCATCTCACGTCTTAACTTGGCAACGGGGACGAAACAGCCCCGCCCGACCTCAAATTCGCAAGCCGGACGCGCCCGGACGAAACGTTTGGCACCGAAAAGTCGGCCGGTTAGGGCCACCTTAACCGCCGCTCCCGCAGAATCCTCAACCGAACAAGCGGAGTTGGAGAACCCTGGTGATGACTCTTCGAGCATTGCGTCTGGTGGCGACCTCGACGAAATCATGGAGGAATTTTCCTCGGACGACTCGCCCGATCCTGTCCAAGCCGGCCCCTTTACCGCCGCTCAACTGGCCGCCATACAGGACACCGTCAGGTCCTCGCTCGATCAAGCGTTGCAGTCATTCCCCTGGTCTCTAGGGCACGATCAACAGCCTGGCACTTTCAACACTCTACATCGCAGGCCAGGATCAGCTGCCCCTGTGGGTCTTAACCGTCCGCTGGAGCAGAATTTACAAGACAAAATTCTCCGGGGTGAGTACATCGATTTTTCTTTGTTGCTCCCCGACTCGCTAGCTCGGCCCCAGGCCCCTGACATCCAACTTCGGGTCGATGATTCAATCCCAGGCTCCTCCCCAGTAACCATGGTCCGCAAACGGAAACCTGTTATTGACAGTTTTCATAAGTGGTTAGACGCCTTCACCGCGTATGCGTTGGTCATTGTCGGCTCTCATCCACGGCGATCCCTTGAACTGTTCAAATACCAGCAAATCATTAGTAGGGCGGCCTCCAAATTCCAGGGTACCGCTTTTCTGGCCTACGACGAACATTTTCGCCGCCAAGCCGCGAATGACTTACGCATTAGCTGGGACCAGGTGGATATCGAACTTTGGACGGTAACCTTCTCTGGCCTGGCTAAGCCTCACTGCCTTGTGTGTTCTAGCCCCCACCATAGCCAAAGTTCCTGCCCCAACGCCGATCCTTTCCGCCAGTCCTCCAAGAACGGCCCCGTCTGCTTCCGTTTCAACAGATCATCCGGATGCCACTCGCGTCCCTGCCCTTTCCCCCACGTCTGCCGCCGTTGCCGATCCGCAGACCATTCCATCGTCGCCTGTCCTAGCAGTTTCTCCAAGGCCAACCGCCGCTCAAACGGATCCAGTAACACGAGCGATCGCAGCAAGCGATAAAGTCAAGCTCCAAGCGAGGAACATTGCGCCACCGGTTTCTACCCCCATTAACATTGATGTTTTATCAAAGGAACTTTCTGGTCACCCGGATAGTCATTTTGTAGCTAACTTAATTCATTCCCTCCGTTATGGCACACCGGTCGGTTATACAGGTCCCCGTCAACCCCGGGTATCCCGTAATTTACAATCGGCTGCTCAGCACCCAGACGTAGTCTCATCCAATCTGACCAAGGAGATCGCACTGGGTCGCGTAGCAGGCCCCTTTCAGTCTCCCCCACTTCCTAATCTCCAATGTCACCCGGTGGGGGTAATACCTAAGAAACATTCTAACGAGTGGCGGACTATTTACCACTTATCCTATCCTGAGGGCGATAGTGTTAATGACCATATACCCAAGGATCCCTACACCCTTCAGTACGTTCGGGTGGACGATGCTATTCGCATTCTTAAATCCCTGGGACCAGGGTCGTTCATGGCCAAAACCGACCTCAAATCAGCCTTCAGGCTAATTCCCATCCACCCCGACGACTGGGATCTCTTGGGGATTCACTGGAACAATCAATATTACGTCGATCTTTACCTCCCCTTCGGGCTTCGCTCGGCCCCGTTTCTCTTTAATCAATTATCGGATGCCCTGGAATGGGTTTTGAAGCATAATTATGGGTTAAAACACGTAATCCATATCCTGGACGACTTCTTTATTGCCGAACCTACACGTTTAAAATGTCTGTCCTCCTTTAGTACCTTGCTTCGCTTTTTTATGTCGGTTCATGCCCCGGTGGTCGCGTCCAAAACCCTGGGCCCCTCCCAAGTACTAGAATTTATGGGCATAGAATTAGATTCTACACGCATGGAGGCACGCCTTCCTGACGATAAGCTACAGCGCACCCGGGATTTGCTCACGTCCTTTACGAAACGCCGTTCAGTTCGCTTGGTTGAACTCCAGTCCCTTATTGGCACCCTTCAATTCGCGTGTAAGGCGGTCGTTCCGGGGAGAACTTTTTTGCAGCGAATGATTAACCTTACCCGGGGGGTTCCCAGCCGTTTTCACCATATACGACTCAACAAGGAATTTTTTAAGGACCTTACCATGTGGAAGGCATTTCTCTCGGGTTGGAACGGGCGTTCCTTCTTCTTAGACTCTACCGTCTCCACCTCCCCAGACTTGGAGCTATACACGGACGCGGCCAGTTCGGTCGGGTTTGGGGGTTATTTTAATGGTCAATGGTTCCAGGGGAAATGGCTCCCTCATATGCACTTAAGCCCCACCAAGGGTATCAGCATTGAATGGCAGGAACTTTTTCCTATAGTAGTGGCATGCGCACTCTGGTTCCCGCATTTTTCTGGGAAACGAATTCAATTTTGGTGCGATAACGAATCAGTAGTCGCCATCATCAACTCGGGCCATTCAAAGGCCCCTCGGATAATGGACCTCCTTAGGTTCCTTGTTCTCCTTTCTATGAAACACAACTTCTTTGTCAGGGCTCGCCACGTCCCTGGGGTAAATAACGACATCGCTGATGCCCTCTCCCGCTTTCAGGACGAACGTTTCCGGGCGTCGGCTCCCAAGGCACAAAAAACCCCCTGTACCATCCCGCCTTCTCTAATGACCCTTTAACAGAAGAGGTGCAGACGTACGCAAAGTGGGGACTGGCGTGGACTACCAACCGTACGTATGGGTCAGGTGAAAAGCGCTTTATTCAGTTTTGCCTTTCAAACAGGCTTATGTCGCAGGAGGGTGATATTCTCCCAGCTTCGGAAGGAACATTGATTTATTTTGCCTCATATCTGGCTAGGACTGTGAAACATAGTACTATTAAGTTATACTTAGCAGCTGTTCGCAATTTACACATTTCCTGTGGGCATGGAGACCCCCTTTCGGGAAAATTACTTTTGAAAAAGATCCTCCGGGGTATTTTACGCTACCAAGGTCAGTCACGCATTCTTCGTCAACCCGTCACTCCGGGGGTTTTGCAAACCATTAAGCCAATTTTGCACTCCTGGTTGGGGGATCACGACTTTTCTATGGTCTGGGCAGCCTTCACTCTCGCCTTTTTCGCGTTTCTCCGCTGTAGCGAGTTTACCTATCAGGGGATTTCGAGATTTCGCCCCCAGGTTGACCTGTCCACCGACTGTGTGTCCTTCCATCCCAGTCTGGCTTCCCCGCAGCGGATGTCTATTTTTCTTAAGGCTTCTAAGACTGACGCCTTTCGCCAAGGGCATACGCTTGTTATTGCATGCTCCACCTCACCGGTTTGCGCGGTGACCGCTATGCGTGATTACTTTCTCACCGCTCGCCCGCGTGGACCACTTTTTTCTTTCCGATCTGGGCGTCTACTTACCAGATCCGCCGTCGTTAACCTTCTCAGGGACGCCGCACGTCAAGTCGGTCTACCTTATAACTCTCTCAAAGGGCACAGTTTTCGTATTGGCGCTGCCTCCACGGCAGCTGCTGCGGGTTTGCCAGACTGGTTAATTAAGGTTTTAGGCAGATGGTCCTCAGACTGCTACCAACTTTATATACGTACGCCTCGGACTGTGTTATTGTCCGCCGCTCCGAGAATGGCCGGTGTGCCATATCTCTAACTTTTTCCAGGCTTGGGGGGATACATGCTCCGCACGTATCAGTGGCGGTTTAAGTCTCACGGCGACTTCCCCAAGCTTTGATTTTAACGCAAACTTTTATATTTGATTGTATTCCAGCACGTGCCGGCGGAGTCGGCTCGTAGTGCTGATAAGATAAAGTTCCCAGAACAAAATATTTGCCTACACCGTTCCATTAAGTTGCACGATGCTGGCCGGAGGTTTCAGCTCGTAGTGCCGTGGAGTGTTAGGCCGTATTAAGTTTGTTTCTTTCGGACCTACCTGAACTTGTCCGATCCGGCGCGTGTAAATTAGCGCCGGGGAGATAAGTAAGGCTTTATGGTCACGCTATGGAAGTCGTCCACCACGCCGATCGCGGAGCGGTGTTCCCCCCATTACGCCATCTGTTTGTTGTCTTATTTTATTACAGTTATTGTAAAGTCTAGCGAAAGGAACTACGACATTAATTTGTTTTATTATATAAACACCACTGGAATACCAGGTGAGCATTTGCGCAGAAACATGACCTCTTCACTTGTGAATATAACATCTAATGTTATCTTGACATGTGAAATGATCACTGTATATGGCTACAAAATAAATTGTGCCTTTCACAGCTAAAAGATATTAAAGTGAAGTTGTTTGGAATTTCAGTGCTGTTTTTATAATAAATAGAATACAGTAAAACCCCACGTATAAGAACCTAGATTTTTCCAAGTCAGCCTGAACAGGATCTTACAGTTGTATATAAATGGTGGTTAACTTGAAATCAGGCTGTCTAGGTTCTTACACATTTTCATGCTAGTTACAGGGAATAATAAGTAGAGTGCAAACATTAAAGGCACATAAATCATACAAAATAGTGCTAAGTTATGTTCATGTTATTGTTTTCTATTGTGCTTTTTGAAATGAAGAAGCTACTTTGAAATTTCAGCCTGAAATGGTTCTTATGTGAAGGGTGCTTAAAATGAAAATTTCAGCCTGACAGGTTCTTAAATTTTAAGTTCTTATCTGTGGGGTTTTACTGTATTACATGGCCGCTTTGAGATATGAAATTTCTCTTTTCGGTTGTTCGCTGTGCTTAGTTGTTATATATTTTTTAAAACTTAATGAGAAATTTTCATCTCTACATGGCCTTGTAATATCTCCAGTTTACTAAAAACAAGCAGTAAGTACGTGTATTCATATATGTAAATATGTGTAAATTCATGTGTTGAGAATGATTAGAAGATGATTTAGAGTCCTTTTTTTCTCTCAGGCATGATAGTTAATGACTGCTTAGTTTATCAAAACTGTGGAGCTTCTTTGATACGTGTATGAATATTTTTTATTTTATTTTTGCTTCTTTTAGTGTGTTGAAAAACTTCAGAATGCTACTTTGACAGGATGTACAGGTCCATCTGAGCAGCTCTCTGGTATGACTTAAATGGCCCTTAATTTGTTATTAACAGTCATTCCACAAGTGCCCGTTGGATATGAGATGGTGTATAGTGAATGAGGCGCGTAGCGTAATTGTTTCATTAAAAATGCCCTCAAAATATTGAGAATTCTTCCCAACTTTCGTTGTAAAAACAACCGATTTTCAGCTTGTTTTTAATTTTGAGCGGACGAGTACAGTTACCATATTTGGAGGGCATGGTATAATGGCTCATATACCATGATGGCTAAGCCAATCAAAGCTCTAGAATTGCAATATCCAATGATTCAGTTTTTAATAAAATGAGTTATGCATCAGGTTTGGTACTTGAAAAGTTGGACCTCTGAATCAAAGCTGTTCCAAAGTCGCTTCAAAATCGAAATTCCTGGCTGGGGTAGGCGGGAAGAATGGCTGAGGAGTTCCAAATTGAAATGGGCATTCTCAATATTCAGACGCCGAACTTTTCATGTACCTACAGTGTAGTTTGGCTCATGAAAAGTTAGGTAAATGCAAAAAACATAGAACACTGTTGCATTTTTGAGAAAAAATGAAATAGTTATGAAGTGGAAGGATAAACAATAACACTGATAAAGACAGCTGCTGAGATTAATTCACTTGATTAAAGGGTTTGATATAATTTCTTTATCAAGAACCAGGTCTGCCAGTCCCCTTTCATCCCCACCCCCATCCCCCGGTGGCACTTATGACCCATCCCTATCGAAGGCACTTCCCTAATTTACTACTACTACTAGTTTGATTGAGCGTCTTAAAGTTTTTATTGTCAGTGATATTATTTTACTTGCTGTCAATTAATATTATGGTTGTGAAAGAAAAGCAACTTTCGTTGTCAAGTAAAAAAGTTTGTGTTTGATTGTTTGCTGCAGAAAAAGCCCCTAGAGGCTGTTCAAACAGTAAGGTAATAGACACTGCATTTTGTGTTTATGTTTTTCAGTTTTAAACTGTGTGCGGCTGCTGACGCGGTTTATCCCATATATATTTGAAGATCCAGATTGGAGAGGATTTTTTTGGTCTACTGTTCCTGGACAAGATGTAAGTTGTTGGTAAATGAAAGTTATTAGTTTGATAAAATATACATTCATGATGTTTCCATTCATCCCTGCTGATGCATGGTAATTTTATGAATGATAACCTTTTATAACATAGCTAGAATATTTGCTTAATGAAATTCAGTAGCATGAGCATGAGTGCTACATATTTCCATTGCATTTTAAGCATGCTGATGATGTCAATAAACTATACCTTGAGTTCTTGTGAGCTTAGCAATCCTCCCAAGATGTCTCCCAAGTGCATTCATCACTCAATAGTACACAATGAAGTGTTTACCATGTGTTTTGTAATGTAAACTTAACTTTTGAATTTGTTAACTGATAGTAGGGAAAAGAGGTGAGTGTAATGTTGTTGTTGTCATCTGTGAGAGCTGGGCAGGCTATGATGTTTGCAAATCATTCTTTGGAAAGTTGTTTCTCTCAAAGAATTAGAGAATTTTTCGGCAGTTTTCCAGCAGTTTTCCGGCACCTCAGTATGGATTTTACAATGTTCTTTAATGTTAGCTTAAGCGACTTGAGTAAACTTTCTCCCAGTTTCCAAGACAAAAAACACAACTGTAAGATAAAAGACGCGTACTGCTTTGAGCCTGTGCTACAACAATAAAATTTTAAGTTAACTGCAGAATTGATCGCTTTGATAATGTTATGAAACATTTAGTTCATGCTTCAGCTGTACGCATGTTGAGATATTGAGCACTTGGGAAGTCTGGAGAGCACTCAAGAGGCTAGAGTATTGAGTTGCTCTTGGCCAACTCTTACGCCTCTTTTGTGTTCTCCAAACTTCCTGTGTGCTTGATATCTCAACATGCACACACTCAGGTGCGTGCACTAATTGTTAATTATATAAGCTGTTTCACCTAAAATTTAACCATGTCAACCATGAAATCCCCTTTAGATTGGCTGAGCTACAATGCAGTGAGAAATTAAAGGGACCATTGAATAGCTTAAGACCTTAAGTAACGTTGTGGATGTCAAATTCTCCTATTGTTTTCCAGGCATATTAAAGGCAATTTGGAAAGAGAATCTAGCAAATGAATTATCAGAAGTCGCTGAAAGCTTTTTGTAGTGGTCCTGTCCATTCTTGGGACATTATGATGTACATGTGTACTTGAAAAATGTTTTGGTATCAGTAAGCTGCGTGCAAAGAAAGTCCTGTCCAATAGACCGGGGCTAGTAGATTTTGCTATTGGGCTAGTGATTTTTGTTCTTAACTTGCCCGACAGGCAAGTGCTGTTTTGGGGGGAAATTCAAATTACAGAAGGATTGTATAATCATTATCCTGCTAATCGAAAAGGGTTTTCGGGCTAGCTTAAATGACTTGTGGGCTAGTACATTCTAGCTACAGCTTGTCCAAATGGCAGGCTGTAAAACTGACTAATTCTTTGCACCCTGAGTCAGCAATAAAAATACCAGTATACACTGCTTATAGAACTATTTTTATTCACAGGAAGAAAGTTTTCATCATGGTGAGGTAAGACTAAGCTGTGGCCTCATGATGCTCTGAATGCAAATCTCTTTTTGGCTTAAATTATTGTTCCCTTCAGTGCTGTAACTGTTTGGCACCAGCCTCTTATTTGTCTTCCCTTCTACTGGGCCCCAAACTTTTAATACCCCGTGCATATTTTACTGGTAAAATCCATTCTCCGGTTAAACCAACATCCAGCTTCTTAGGGTTAGCTTTTCGCAAGGGTTCTAAGCCTGGTAATCTAGGCTGAACACTGAAAATGGATTTTGCCTACAAGATACTTGCCTCCAGTGCTACCCAATATGCTCCTACCCAACAGGGGATATTAAGCTATAATTTACTGTATAAGACAAATATCTTTCAATTTATAGCTATAGTGTAGGAAAAAAACACCTTGACAACTGTGGTACATGTAGTTGGCCTTCCTGGGTACTTACGAATGTATTTTTTTTACATCCATAAGCTGTCTTGTTTTGCTGTTGTTTTTTTCCTTAGTTTTTGTTTGAAGTTGCCAAACTTTGTTTTTTTAAAAGGCTATAAATTTATTGTCCCCAATTTATGAAGTCTCTAGATCTTATGCATGCCCTCAGTCAAGTTCTACACTGAAAAAAGGCCCTAAAGTGCTCTAATAATAGTTATTTCAAACAAAGAACTATTCTTTCCACAGGCTGCTGAGGCCAGGCCACCTCTTGCTCAAACTTTGCTCAGTTCTCTTGCTGTGAGTACTGCATAAAATATTCTTTTTTATAAACAGAAAAAAAAACACTTTGAAAGGAGCATTGCAACAACAACTGTATTTAGGGGTCAACATGCAGTTTTAAAACTCAAAACCAGATGTTTCATTTTATACAATGTATACTGAATAAACAGGGCTAAATTGAATACACTAAGGAAGTGACTGGATCCATTTCATTTGTCTTGTATGGCAGCAGGAAATGGGTGAAAGTAAGAATAATGCAGTATGTGATGTTGATTAATTTTGTAAAGTAAACGCTCTAAGGCAGAAACTTGTCATTCCTCATTTCTTTACAAAAGCCATCCGCTTTTTGGTCTAACCTAGTATCAATTTAACTGCTTAATTTTTGTGCAAAATAATTCTGTAAATGGTGAAAAGATTAATTTTTCAATTTTGATGTTTTAGGATCTCTGCTTCTGTCCTGAATTTACTGTTTATCCGCCAAAGAAAACTGGACCTGTAAGTTGAGTGTTACTTGGATTTTTTTCAAATCACTTTTAACATGCAGGCTTTAAGTATAATCAGTGTTGTTTTTATTGAATTTTAGGATCAACCAGAAGACCTGTCAGCTATTGACAGCTGTGAATATATTTGGTAAGAATTCTTGTGTTCACTAGGCTGGCATGCAGATAGTGCTGAACCACTCCTTCTTGAAGCATTTTCACATGACTTCACACTAGCCAATTTGTGTTCTGAAACAGTGTATCGAAACAACAGCCATCTTGGTGCACCAAACTAACCCTTTTTTTGGTGGAAATACTTTTCTGAGAGTGAAAAGGCTATAAATATACAAAGTTTAGTTCGAATCCTTTCTGTAGGCTGGGAAATTTGAATATTACAGGTTCACGTTTGTAAGGCGTGACCAAACTCTTGAGGTATTAAGTGATTCACCGTAAGGTCTTTTAAATTGCACTCTAAAGCATTACAATCCCATGTTTGAGAGAAGGTCCTACTTTTTAGAACACTTTCACTTATTAATTGTTGAACTATTTTTTGTAGAAGCATTATTTTGAAGACAGTTTCGATCTCAGCTAAAATAGAAGTGAACAAATGAATGAAAACAAAAATGGCAGCCATTAGCTACCAACCCCGAATCTTAAGTGCCAAATATGAGCAGATGGATATAACCTGAAACCACTAACTGTTTGCAGTGAGATGGCCAAACATCGATCTTAAAGTCTCTCTTATTGTAATTGGGTTTGCTGTTGATTGAGATGTAACATTACATAATTACTAATATTAAAGTGAAATGGGGTTCTTGAGATTACAAGTTTTATGCATACATGTATGTGCTGTCTACAGGTAGATTTAATTTCAACTAAAATACGCATGATTTGTATGCACATGACATAACTACATCTATCTTAAAAACAAGTCAGAGAAGCAAAATGTAATTTTTAACTTTTTTCCTCAAAAATAACGATACTAATAGTGGGGAATTATTTGCAGGGAAGCTGGGGTTGGATTTGCAACATCTCCACCTGCTAACCCACAGTATGACTGCAACAGAACTGAACTGTTAAAGCTGCTCTTAACTTGTTTCTCTGAAGCTATGTACCTCCCGCCAACAGGTTGGTTTAGGTTCAACACTCTTTTATCCAATATTTACTAGGCTCTCTTCAACATGAACCACCAGATATCCTCCCTGTGTCTTTAGTGACTTGCTCAGCATTGCTTATCAGGTTCAATTTGTATTTCCCTTTTTGTGTGTGTTTAGTTTTGTATTAGGTGTTAGTAGATGTTTGATTAAAACAAGTAAAGTCCTGAGCAGGTAATAATTATGTATGGGTCATCATTTGTTCTTTTCGAAGTTTACTTCCTTTGTATAACGTAACGACATGTATAACGTATTCTACAGACTACTATCAACATCTTACTTTAGAAAGCTGGTTTACTAACTTAGAACAAATGCCACTGAATCGTAGCCAACAGTTACCAGCGCCATACAAACGACTTATTGACGAGATGAAGCAAAACTAACTATGAGATGAGATGAAGATGACTACCGCACAGTTTGTCGAAATGTCAGTTACTGGCAACAACAACAATCCTATTCAGGACTTTGTTCACCCGGACGATCAAACTCAACCTACTTTACTTCCTTTATTGTAAATTGTCATGTTGTTTTGTACAGTTATGTACTTTCTTCAGTACGTGTAGTTTTATTATAGCCTCTATTATATAGACTCTTCAATTCCCCGCCTACATGTACTTATTGCAGATACCTGGCAACTTGAAATTTTAGCGACAACCCTGGCTTACTAGAACATAATTAAAAAGTTTTGATTTTGCTGTTTCTTGAATTTGCACAGCTGAGAACCATTGCAGGCCAAATAAATGGCTTTCATTTTTCTCCTCTTCTGGAAACAGGTGAGGACTACAGTACTGTAGTTTAAATTTTGTTTTAAATGTTTACAGTTTTAGTATTTTTCAGATGTGAAGTTCAGGAATTCTAACAGTTTAGAGCCATTGTTATCTTATGTATGTTACCAGTCTTTATTTCTAATAAGATTGCAAAACTGCAGTCAGTTTAACTGAGCCTTATAATTCCAATATTTTTGCTATTTTACAGACATGCTCTTCCAATATTCACCTCTTTGTTAAATCTTGTGTGTTCCTATGATCCTGTTGGATATGGAGTGCCGTAAGTATTGTACAATTTTCAGTTTATTACACATTTAGGGAAACAAGTCATGTCATTTGAAAAAGAAAGTGGAGAAATTATAGTTTTATTGCTATGGTTACTAAGGACCTTTTATTCAATTAGTATTCAGCGTCGTTTTTAGACTGTGAGTGGTTGTTGAAATGATATTTGGGGTGACTATCTATTATAAACCATGGTGAATGCTTTCTCCAACAGTTCACTGACAAAATACATTTTGCGTTGTGTTCTCAAAGTTTTTTTTTATCCTTAGTGATTCATGATTGCAGTGTGAAAAAAGTTCTACAATTTATTATAGGTATAGGATTTAATGGAGGAGACACCAGTGGGAAATTGTACCCATTTTAGTCATTTTACTGACAAACAGTTATGACTTACAGATATTTTCAAGAACAACAATTTGCCATATTTTCCATTTCGAATGTTAAACTTTTCTTTTCCTCACAAGAGGATGTGTGTTTTTTTTTTTACTTCTGTACTTTTCACAAAGATACACTATCCCTCTCAAACTCATTGATTATTCACGCAGTCAAAAGCCACTAAGTAATGACAATTATTGGGTCTGCTGGATGAATCTTGATACGTAATGAAACACCAGATAATACACTACCAAGGGTCAATTTAATAAAACCTTTACAAGTGTAATTGACAATTGTGGCCATCATTTTGGAGTCTGATTACAAAAGCTTCACTTGTAAATTACACTGTAAAAGTTTTATTAAATTGACCCCAGGTTTCCATCTGAGGTCAAACATGTTTTTCATCCAAGAGCAGACACTTCAATGTAAATATGTTCTTTTGGTGAATGTAGTGCTGCATAATTTATCATTGGTTAATTTTGAGAAATCATGTCACTGCATAATTTTGTTATTGTTTCTCTTGAGAAGACATGCAGGCTTTGTACTTCATCACTGGTTCCAAACACCTCAAAACAGAAAAAAGCACTTGGCCTACGTCCTTGTGCTTTCATCTTTTTCTCAGTGTTTGGAACCTGTGATGAAGCACTTATTTTCCTTTCGGACATCCTGTATTACTTCACTTATAGTTAAATAATGAGTTTATCACACTGGTTTGTACATATTTTACATGAAGTCATTTAAATGATTGTATTTGTTGAAGGTATAACCATCTGATGTTTGCTGATTACCGTGAGCCCCTAGTGGAGGTAGCTGCTCAGTTGCTTGTAGTTTTATTGGATCATGAAACAATCCAGCAGTCTGGGGTAACAGTAAATGGCACTGATGCTGAGCACTCTTTTGAGGTGAGCTGCATGAGATATTGCACTTAAATCAGAGACATCTTCACCTGTTATGACAGATAATCATGAGGGGCTTTGGGGAACAGTGAGGACACAGTGCTTGAAGTGGCCTTGCACCAATAATATTTGGATCAGGTTTGAGTCCTGGCATATCAATGCCTTTAATACGGGTTGAGTTTGGTGTTGGCCCTGAGAGATTTTTTTTTGGGTACTGCAGTTTTACACTCTCCTCAAAAACCATCATTTCAAATTTAACTTTTATCTGGAAGTGTCTCCAAATAGTTGGGGACACCTAGACGGCCACAGGGTTATCAATTCTTGGAATTTTAAAGGTGTCACCCTTGCTATATAATGTTAGTTCTAAATTATATGTGACAATTTGTTTTAGTGCCTTAAAGTGTAAATTGCTTCAACTAAGCTCTGCTTCCTATCCAGCAGAGAGGGGAGGGTGTTCCATTGGTTTTGGTGGTGGTGAAACCTCTAGGGGCTAGTCCATGATTTTTTGGGAGGCTGTGTGATGCAGGGACCTTGGAACCCTGAGTGTATACCATGGTCAGCTGCATTTTTGTAGTCCTAATCAAGTCTTGATCCAAAAAAGTGCTCCTTTCTACAGACTTTTCAAGTCTCTCTCAAGTCAGTTTGCTTCTTTTTACTGTTGTTAATGTTCACCCTGTGAATCTTGTAACTCAGAATTTACACCAATATTGTACATGAACATGTGCCAGGAAATGCTACAGTGTAGTGATATTTTACACCAAACAGGCATTAATTTTCAAAGTAGTCATTTAAAGCTAAATAATAATATACTGCATATTGCAGACAGTTCATCAAAGTCACTCATTCAGTACATATATATAATAATATCATTTGTGTGCATTTTGTATGATATTTTTTAGGAAACTCCAGTGGACAATCTCTTTTGCAACTATTTATCTAGAATACACAGAGAAGAGGTACTGACAAGCTATCCATTGTGTAAAATTTGCCTTTTAACTTCAGTGATTTTTCTTCTATAAGCAAAAGTTGCATTGGTCAGTGTCTTCCGTTGTGTAAGTTTTATTTGTAATGTAACCACTAAACTGGTACCATTTTTGTGACCTTGCAGGATTTCTACTTTATTCTTCATGGTATTGCAAATTTGCTCAACAATCCACTTATTCAAGTAAGTGAGTCTTAACAAGTTTAACGGTGTTGATTAATTTAATTTCTAATTGGCATGACATCGTTTGTGAGTTTTAATTCCCCTCTAAACGGGCTTGCCTGAGAAATTCTTTAAAGGCGATGCCAAATCTGTGTCTTTTTATTATGACTTATAAAATGGCTATAATCTCGTCAGTGTTAACATTTTTTTGTCCTTTTCAATTTCAGACCTACCTTCCAAATTCTTGCAAGAAAGTGAGCTTTCACCAGGAATTGCTTGTTCTGTTTTGGAAGATGTGTGACCAAAATAAGGTACACGTTGCAGGTTGATTTTATCCTTGATTTAAATGTATTTTCCTCTGTTTTTTGGTATGTTAATGTGTGATAATCTAGGTTATAACAAAAAAATTTCCATGTACACATTTAACTTTGTCGTTGGTTCACTCAATAAGTGAGGAAGGTATTGGAATTATACTTAGTGAATTGTAATAATTTGTATTATTGGTTTGTCTGTTTTTTGTTTGTAGAAATTTCTGTTTTATGTACTTAAGAGCAGTGATGTCCTTGACATCTTGGTTCCAATACTCTACCATCTGAATGATGCACGGTCTGACCAATGTAAGTAATCTCCTTGGGTTGGTGTATTCATAGTTTCTTGGGCCTGTTATATATACTCGATACTGCTGATTATTTACATTCACCTAGTGAAAGTAAAGAAGTATACCTGCCAACTCTCACGCATTATGTGTGAGTCTCACGTCTGCGGACCAAAGACATCAATCTCACGCATTAGGGACAATTTCTCATGCCTGACCCACATATCCAAACGAATTGTTCCTGAACATATGATCAACAAAAATTCTATTCAATGCCTGAAAATATTCCAAAAAGGCACTTAATATTGACTTGATGTCCTAACTGCATGTATCACAAAAATTGTTGCCCTTCAAATTGTCTCGGAAGTGTTCAAAGGTCTTTGGAGCATTTGTACATTTTCAGCATCGTTTGGAAGTTTGTTAAATCGTCGAAAATCTTCAGAAGTTGCTGGGGCATTTACGGAAATCCCGGTCATGACAAGATGAAAATCTAAAATGTGCATTTGACTCAGAAAAAGTTGGCAGGTATAAAAAGGAGATGGAGAACAGTAATGTATAACTTGTAAATACTGGTGGTTAAATTACAAATTAATAAGGTGTTGTGAGCATTCCAATTTGTGGTATATCACACAGTTTTGAGGCAACAGAGAACAACTCTGTGATATACATGTATCTCATTATTTTGAAGTAAGGCCTGGTTCAGATGCCAAACTTTTCATGAGCCGAGCCTAATACATCGAATTAAGTACATGAAAAGTCTGAATCAATTAGGAACACCTGTTTCAATTTGAAATGGCTCAGCTGTTTTTTACGCCTAGCTTGGCCGAGAATTTCGCCTTTGGAGCGACTTTGGAATGGCTTTGATTCAGACGCCAAACTTTTCATGTACCGAACCTATATTATTATAACGTATTTTGTAAGCAGATTGACCGAAATGAGCATTTTTCACCTTTCGAACTTAGTTCAGCTGCAATTAAGATTGACGTCTGAATCAGTTCAGCCAGTCTAAATAATTAGGTTCAGCTCACGAAAAGATCAGCGTCTGAACCAGGCCTATCAGAAATGTGTGTGATGTCTCATGGTTTTAATGAGAAAGTGAGGCAAGTGATATTTAATATGTGTTTTGTATTTCCTTTGTCCAGCACGTCTAGGTTTGATGCATATAGGGGTCTTTATATTACTACTGTTAAGTGGTGAAAGAAATTTTGGTAGGTTTGAATCTGAATGTCAATCTATTATTTGTTAAATTTTAATTTGATATTATGGTTACCGTAGTTTGTACAAGGTACACTGTTAGACTCTTTGTGAAAACTACTTTTTTTACATGGTATGTCAGCACTAAGATCGGGGTTCATCTTAAAGTAATAAAAGTGAATCATCCACTCGGTTAGTATGCGTTATTTGGAGGATCCACTCTTCACCTAATTCTTTATAATTACTTTATAATTTATTAATTAATTCTATTATGCTCAGTTGTAATTTTCAATTTTTATTACTTCTCTTACTGTGCCTGTATTGTATTCTTGTTCTTTGATTCTTTGTTTAGGTCTGCATTTTAAAACTTATTGCCTGTTTAATAATGTTAAATATAAATATTTTATTTACTTTGTAAAGCACTATTGATCAACAGATGCAAATAGTGCTATATAAGTTATTAAATTATTATTATTTGTTATTATTATGATTATGATTATTATTGTTGATACTTGATAGGTGTTCGTCTTAACAAGCCATACTCAGTTCGAGTACCAATGGACATTCCAGTGTTCACAGGAACTCATGCAGACTTTCTCATCATTGTAAGTAAAACTGTACCTACAATGCAGTTACATGTATTATTAAAAACAGATGTTGATATATCCTGGCTGGGTAATTTATTGTCAATTTCAACAGTGGTGGCCAAAGATTGTTTTTTGAATTTTGCCATTTTGCAAAATAATTTAAAGTACTTACTAAAAATAGTTTTAATGGTAAAAGAGGGTGACGCTTTAATACTACATAATTATATGTGATTTAATTCTTGTGGCTTTGTAAACAGAGTAAAACCTTAGCTTTAACATGTTTTAAGTCCAGTTTTATCATATATAACAATTACTTGTTGTTGTTTTTTTCCATTTGTATCCTTCAACATTTTAGGTATTCCACAAGATCATAACTAATGGTCATCAGAGACTGCAACCACTGTTTGACTGTCTGCTAACTATTATTGTAAATGGTAAGATGACAATTTAAACTTTCAAGGTGTTTATCACTTCTGTATACACAGTACTGAGCTTGGTGGATATTTTATACCATGCTTATTTCCTCATTTCCATGTTAATTATCTTTTCATTGTGCCCTTCCACTCAGCCTGCACTGCTTAATAATAATTTTGACTGTTTTTAGGATTTTAAGAGAGAAGCAACATTGCAAGTTTGTTCTTTCTGAAACAGAAAGAATTTATTTATTTGATTTGTTGTTGTTGTGTCCTAGCAATTAATCTGATACCATAAAGATCCTCGTATTCTGACCTCAGGTTTGTATAAAAAAATCAATGTCTGCCTTTCCTTTCTAGTTTCTCCTTATTTAAAATCCCTATCAATGGTGGCTGCAAACAAACTCCTTCATCTTCTGGAGGTAGGTAAACTGGAGCTTTTGTGTTTGATGTCAATATTAAACATTGAAAGCACTCAACTCTATTATGTCCTATGAGTTCCCTAAGCTGACACCCGTTCCCTGTAAGGGTGGGACTTGAACTTGGGTCCTCTGGTTACAAGTCCAGTGCTCTAACCTCTTGGTCACCCTACCTCCTCTGGATTACTATTAGATCAGGCCATGTGTTAAAAAAAGTGGCTAATATGGAAGGTTTCAAACGATGAAAACGTTTAACAGTCGCTTCAAAAAGTGGCTGTAGTCTCTTTTTACAGGGTTGATTTAAGAGAGGTGTCACCCTGTTTAGTCATTTGAGGGAGACAATTTAGGGGTTTTGGCTTTGTGGTCACTTACAAGATAGTTAACTGACTCACAGGAGTTAGAGGGTTACCAAAGTAAATTTTCCGATCAAAATATTATTGAAGAAAGTTAAGTCTAATTTGTTGTTCCTTGCAGGCATTTTCCACTCCGTGGTTTCTCTTTTCCAATGCAACTAATCATCACTTGGTTTTCTTTTTGCTGGAAATATTCAATAATATTATTCAGTATCAGTTTGATGGTATGTGATTAAAGAATATTTTTATGTTCATTGAAAGGCTAGATAGTAGGAAAACTGTACGGAGGTTCTTAGGAAAGAGTTTCATTCTTTGTCCTGGTTATTTCAAATGCCTATAATATTACTTAATCCAATTTTGAAAGGTAACTCAAGATTTCATTTTTTTTCAATTTATTACGGTGTTTCCAAATAAAACATTACAGTCAAACCCCTATGCCACTAATGGCCACCTCTCCACAATGGCCATTTTTTTTGGTGGACAGTCCATACATTGACTGATTTCATTTCTTTCAATTACAGTGTTTCCAAATAAAACGTTACAGTCAAACCTCCACTAACAGCCTCCGCTCTACAACGGTCACTTTCTTCTGTTCCCAAGGTGGCCATTGTGGAGATGTTCAATTGTAGATAGATTGATCAATGTTGCGTAAAGACACCACCTAGCTATGTCAAGTCCCAAGGGCTTAAAAATGACATTGCATTTTTTGGGTGGACAGTCCAGTAAATTCATTCTTGCTTCAACCTCTCTACAATGACCACTTTCTTCTGTCCCCTAGGTGGCCATTGTAGAGAGCATGACCCTGAGCTACTTTCACAGGAACCCAAAAAGAACTTCCTCGCTGTTCAATTGTCTGACTAATAATTTTATATACTATGTCTGTCTCTGTTTTTCTAGGGAATTCTCATCTTGTTTATGCGATTATAAGGAAGAGAAATATCTTCCACCAGGTAAGTTCGTTATCAGTTTACTGGGGTTGAGACTGTGGAAGATGGGGCGAAACCTTAGTAGTAGCTACGAGTGAGGCCTAGAATACACAGTGATGATGGATTTCTTCGTTAATAAGTCATGTACGTATCTAAGAAGACATCCACACCAATGCAAGGGATGCTAACGTGGTATTGGAAGCAAGAACAAAAAAAGTGATGTGGCCTTAGTTGCCTCCCTATACCTGGGATGATTCTAACCCCCAAGCTAATGTGCTTGATATAATAATAATAATAATGATAATATATTATTATTATTATTATTATTATTATTATTATTATTATTATTTGTTGTTGTTGTTGTTGTTGTTGCTATTAAGGTAGTTTAATTTTTTGTGTGTAATGTTTTAGTTAGCAAACCTTCCAACTGATCCAGCAACTGTTCAGAAACCAAGAAGATCAAGAATAACTTCTCAAGGTTCCGAAAAGTAAGTTCATTAGTATTTATCCTTCTCCTGAAACACATTCAGGATAATTTTTTGTGACAGATGGACATTGTTCGTATTGGTTGGTACAGGGGCCGGATGAGCAAATTTTTGTTTGTTTTGATAGTTGTCGTAAGTTCCCCTCTTTGGAAAAAGTGAACGTAGCTTGTCCACTTGAATACGGACCACCCTCTCCCTTCATCCCCAAAGGTTTTGTTTGTGTTCAGCTGGAAAAGTGTTGCTTAGATTGCCGTTGTGTCGTTTTGCAGGGATGCCCGCACATCAAGTAGTGATGGAGAGGAAAAGAAGCCTGCAGCCAGTTCTTCAGCATCTGGTCACATGCCTGAAATGTCTGCAGACAGTAAGCTCATGCCATTGTAACATTCTGAATGTTCAGTGTTAAATGGTTCTTTGGACAGTGATGTGGTTGAATGAATTGAAATTACATACCAAGTGTAAAAAAATTTCAAATGTCTTTGTGTAAAATCCGAAGAAGTAAATAGTTCTATGCTAAACTTCTGAAAAAGGGGTTTCATTTGAATGGTAACACCACAGGACATCGTCTACAGGTTACAAAGTCAAAGTGGTGACGAATAATCTCTCCATAACCTTGGTCTAGGAGTGAAGGGGTTGACTTACCTGCAATAGGCAAATTGACAAAGCACAACTGGGTCGCCGTCTGACCTGATTTGTTTTCCTGTATAGTGTCTGTGAAAGAAATGCGTAGTCCTGGCAGTGATTCAGAGTCCAGTGATGTAGAGGCGCGCTCCACAGGGGAGGTGACCCCACCCAGCACCCCTGGAACATTACGTACAGAGAAGAAATCCATTGGACGGTCTGCATCTGTCTCTAGCTCTGGACCTTTTGTGGCGACACCTGAATGGGTACTGCTTATTTTATTTTTCTTTCTCGTCACACGTAGTTGTTTTTTTCCCTCAACCTTATTAACAGTTGGGAGAGAAAACAAAGGATATTGCTATCGAGAATGGATTTTGAATAAAAGGTAGTAATTTTGTAACATATTGCTAACTTGAGCTTAGCATTCCTTCGAGAATTATTGGTTTATCTTCTGCCGTTCCTTGTTTTAAGCACCCGTTAAAAACACCACCTTACACTGTATTACGGCAACCCATGCAAGAAACAATTACTTCTTTTTCAATCAAACAAAGGACGCGGAGAATAGTTGTATGGAACTGAAATTCCAATTAATAGGCTGCTTTAGCAACAGAACGGGAACGTTATTTGACAACGGGAAAGTGCGCCAAAAGGACTAAACTTGACTTTCGGTGCCCAATTTGCCGCTCTGCTATTGGTCAAACCAGTTGTTTGATTTGCGCGCGCCGTCGTCAACTAACGTTTCCGTACTGTTGCTAAATCAGCCTAATATGCAGGACAACGTTTACCCTTGGACCTATTAATTGAGCTACATTTCCATAGAAGACCCACTATTAGTTACGGATTAACTCAATATTTAGCGGTTAAAGAACTATTTTGTTATTTTCACATTATTTTGCAGGTACAATCTTGGAAACAGAAGCTTCCACTTCAGACCATAATGAGAATGCTACAAGTGTTGGTGCCTCAGGTAGAGAAGATTTGTATTGACAAGTAAGTTGGCTTTAAACTCATTTTGATTGCATTTCAACATAGTTGTTCAGCTGTTCCTCATGCATATGAACTTCAAGTAGCTGTAGATAACTGCGGTACAGTTGAAGTTCTCGTTTTGGTTACCTCTGTAATTACGGACTTTCCTGTAATAGTCACTTTGGCTTTTCCCTCGAGTGTCCATATTAAAGGTCTTGACTTCAGATTATGTTTTTGAATGCGCTAGCTTTTCTGTCCGGATTCAAAATTTCCACGTCCACACGTATCCGTATTCAAATAGAATTTGCCCCTCCACACGTATCCGACAAGTATTTGGATTCACTGTAGTACCCAAGACTTCACGGGTAATATTGGCAACAGATCTTGCATTGTAAAGATGGGTAAGAGAGAGACGCTTGAAACAAGGTTGCCATCTTGAATACAGTATTCACGGTAAACAACTGGGCTCAATCTTTTTAGGTCACCGGACAAAAAAAAATGTCCGGATCTAGCGTCCACACGATTCCAGATTCATAGCGTTTTCAAAAATTTCCACCCTGGAGAGCGGATTAAAAAAGTTGCGGATTCGTCTGTCGGGTTCACCGGATACTTGTGGACAGAAACCGTATCCGGAAAGAAAAAGTTGCGGATTCAAAAATATCCTGATACATGTGGACGTGGCCTAAAACTATGACCAGTAAAAGCTGCGCGTGTAAAGTTAGCTTCTACCCAGCTGTTATTTGTCGCCTCACGCTGGCCTAGTCCTTTTATGGCATCTTCCCAGGCTATCCGGTCAATGCATACCACGTGACCTTAAACGTATCAGACAAGGCAAGAGTCACGAAATGTTTCTTTCAATACCCTGGGTACCAGAGGTTTTTCTTTCGTGTGCGACGTGCGGTGAGAAGCTTCATCGGTTACAGGCCGAAGCCACGAGCGGCGAGGTCACTAAGAGGACTTCACCGAAACCGGAAGTTGCGCAAGGAAAGCCTCTGGCGCCGAGGATGTCCTCGGAACCGTGTAAGAACATTCGTTAGAGAAAAAGTAAATGTGTGATATGCGAAGCCCGCCTTGATGCAGTAAGTTATTAAGTTGAACAAAAAACCTAACCTGTACACCCCTGCTCTGTTCAATTTACCTTACGCCTTGTTGTAGCCCGCAATCAACGCGAGTCAGCTGTCCTTTTGGAGAATAACATCATGAGAATTCACTCGCGTGTGGTACTCTAAAGGAGACACTGCCCACTCGCGCGTTTTTTCGCCGATCGTTTCGCTTGCCCCTCGAGATGGGAAACCTTACTTGCATGTGCAAATGGATGAACAATGTTTGCAAACTTGAGATGAAATCCTCAGATTTGAGATATGATCCAGGCGGTGTTGTAATCAGATTATCCAAGTGGAGAATCGTTGAGAAGAAAAAAAACGCGTTGTAAGCTGCATGGGACGGTATCCCATCCAGGAAAGAAATAGATATGTATTTCCAAGTTGGTGGTAAGTGTTTTTATTATACATGTGTTTGATGTGTTTGCAGGGGCTTGACGGATGAGTCTGAGATTATCAAGTTCCTTCAACATGGTACGCTGGTTGGGCTTCTACCAGTTCCACACCCAATATTGATCAGAAAGTATCAGGTAAAAATTAATAGTGTCATGCTACTTCAGATGTTCAAGGAATATCTTCAAAATTTTACAATTTCTTTCTTCTGCCATTAGAAAAAACTGCGTTGATTTCGTGCACCTGTACCTTTCCATTTATCAAAATGAGCTCTCGCCATTTTTGGCCTACTTACTCTATCCTGTTTAAGGTCGGCTATGTTCACACAATACCAGATAGCTAACTTGCCCACCTACCCCTCCCCTAACCCAACATTTTGCCCCAAGTGAGACGCAAATGTTAACGTTGAGTTAGGGGAGGGGTAACTGGGCAGTTTCCCAGAAACCTAAATAGATCCGCTAACTTTCGGGTCGGCACGCAAACCATACCGGGTAGGGATTCTGTTTACACATAACGACGGTGATTTCGGCGCGATTTCTGTAACGGAGCGAAGCTGCTGCACCGCGCCGATCTCTAACTCGTTGAAGTGGAGAGTCACATAAATTATCGGATAGGTGTTCATACCATACCCGATAGCTTTTCGCGTTGGTACGAAAAGCTGTCCGCTATAGTGTGAACACAGCCTAAAGCTAACTCATGCCCGGTCGTCTCTCCAAGACGCGGAGGATGATGGGAAGGGACTCCAGCGATTCATGAAATAGGCCACTTCCGAGTTCCAAAAACCCTCACCTTCAAAATGAGGCCAAGTGCACAACCTTTCTTGTGCAAATGAGTTTTATTTGCGTGAGAATGAAAAGTCATTTCCATATCAAAGGCTGAGCACTTAACCCAGTTTTTTGATACAGAGGCCTTGGCGAACTCGGAAATGGCTTATTCCTGTTAAGCTGATTTTGTGTGCCCGAACGGAAACTCACCTTAAGTGAAGGGAAACGGGGAACAGGACATTAGTTCAAAAGTAGGTTGAGTTTGATCGTCCGGGTGAACGTAGTCCTGAATAGGATTGTTGTTGTTGACAGTGACTGACGTTTCGACAACCTGTACGGTAGTCATCTTCAGAGTCAAAGTGAGTTGTATCACGTGATACAACTCACTTTGACTCTTTGACTACCGCACAGGTTGTCGAAACGTCAGTCACTGTCAGCAACAACAGTCCTATTCAGGACTACGTTCACCCGGACGATCAAACTCAACCTACTTTTGAAATGACTCCTGGATTCAAATCTTTCACAGGACAATAGTTGTTGGTCAAACGTCCCGATCGGGAATATCGCGGCGAGGGGAAACTTTAATGCTGTAAGAATATTACAGTTCCAGGATCTGTGGATGAGTGGTTCAATGACGATTTTTCCATGACTTGTTTCTGTACAGGTTGTTTTCCATGAACAAAGTTTTCGTCCGAAAAGTTCGGTTGGTATCAGCTCGATTAACGCGGGTGAACAAGCCGAGCTGAGTTGGTCTAATTACACTTTTAATTGGATTGCAAATTGTTGCCCGTCCAAGAAGATTTCCACTGGAAAAAAAAGCAAACAAAAAATTGTACACGATATACAATTTTACTGGAATGACTTTCTTCCCCATTATGTAGTTAACTACCACAGTCTTTAAGTTTTCCTCACGTTGTCTTTTGTTTTGTATCCTATTCAAGGCTAACAGTGGTACCCAGATGTGGTTCCGTACTTACATGTGGGGAATAATATATCTAAGGTAAGGAAAACACAAACACACACACACACACTAGACGGCCTAGACGTATCAATTGGTGGAGTGGATATTCCGCTATTTTTAAAAAAAACTCTCTTAATACTTTTGCTGAAAGCATATTGGTTTTTTGAGCTTGTTACTGTTAAGAGAATAAACGCCTCTCTCTTTTAAACGCACCCTCTTGGACCCCTAAAATTAAATAGACGCTCCGGGCGTTTATTAAATCGTTAGGGAGCTTAAGCAACAACGACGGCGACGGCTACGGAAACGTCTGTTTAAAACCTTGTTCGCGCTGCTTCAAACTTAATTGCGCATGTCGTTCAATTCGTCAAATGTTGGAGAAATTTTCTGGAGTTGAATTCTAAAGGACTGTATCAAAGTTCAGAAAAGGAGCAAGAGGGTCGTTGTCTTGTGTTGACGTCCTCCACAAAACGTGAAATAAGACAATTTCACGTCGTAGTCTCGCAACGACGGCAAAGAAATGTACAGAAAAGCGTGGTGCACGTGCAAAGTTGTTGTTTTGGCGATCTACACCTATTGTGTTTTTGCCGTTCTCGTTGCCGTCGCCGCTGTCGTTGCTTAAACTCCCTATTTACGATACTGCTGCCTCCTTTTTACATGGTATGGTAATCCATCGTATAGTCACTCTTGAAGTGTTCACTCATGAAGCAGGCATGCGAGGAGATGAGGGGTCCAGTTGTTCAAAAGGTGGATAATTCTATCCACCGGATAAATCTCTATCTAGTGGATAAGGCAATTGGTTGTGGATAACGTTATCCACCGGATAAATCTCCATCCAGTGGATTATGCAGTTGGTTTCCCTAATACCTCTCCGCTGAACGGGGATTTATCCGATGTATAGCGCGATCCACCGGATAAATCACTATCCAGTGGATCACGCAGTTGGTTTCCCCAATACTTCTCCGCCGGATAGTGATTTGTCCGGTCGTTAACATTATCCACCGGATAAATCACTATCCAGTGGATCACGCAATTGGTTTTTCTAACACTTATCCGTTGGATAGTGACTTATCCGGTAGATACATTATCCACCGGATAAATCTCTATCCAGTGGATAGCACAATTGGTTTCCCTAATACTTCTCCACTGGATAGTGATTTTTTCCGGTGGATAGCGCTACTCAGCGTCTTGAAAAACCGGGGCCAGAAAATACTGAAACCGCGGCCTATTTTATTTATTTTTATTTTTTTGCAGGAACATTGATCCACCAATTTGGTACGACACAGATGTCAAACTCTTTGAAATTCAGCGAGTGTAGAGATCATGAGCAAGAGCAATGAAGGAGAAAAATACTCAACGAGGAAAACTAAAGTCGCTAATGGTTTTACGAAAAATGAAAATTAATTGCATTCTAAGCGGACTGGTGTGGGTTCGTTTGAATATTAATGTTTGGACATTTTGTTTATGTTCAGGAACCACACGAAGGTCTACAAAGTACATATTATTAAACCAGCAGGAAACAGGCGTAAAATGTGAAATATTTATTAAGTGAAGTAACCTTGTCGTTACAATGTAATACGTAATCACTGTATTTATAACCGTTGTATCCAATGACATTTAATTGGCTCTTGAAATAGTGCACTTTGGTTAGTCGGTTATGCAAGTAAGAACCTGCAGATTCTTATATAAGTGGTAATTAGCATAAATTTTGCCTATTTGGGTTCTTGAATAGGGTGTTATTTTCTGAAGAAAAAAAAAAACATTTTAGCTAAAATTATTTAGCGGTATTCAGCTTATTCCTTATGTAAAATCTGCTTACCATTACATTGCAGTTTTGAGTCATAAGGCATCTATGTCTTCAAAGGGGGTCCTCAATGTTGACTTATCTTATGCCTAAGTGTACAGAATTTTTTTTTCATAGATTTAGAAAATAAGAAACTGTTTAACATTTTATGCTGAGCAGGTTCTTGTATTGAAGGGACCTAACTGGCAAATTTTGGCCCGATAGGTTCTTAAAAACCAGGTTCTCATTCGCGGATTTTTCTGTATTTTGAATGCGCTTTGTTCAGTTCGTTATGTCCTATGTGTCTTGATGTTACTGGTAACCTGCAATTAGGCTTCCGCGGAAATGACGAAACAAAATTTAAGGCGCCAAAAAAATAAGAGTATATGAGAGCGTCATTGCATTAAAAATACTTCATATAAAATGTCTCCTATAAACGAGATTAAAGGGACTGGTTCACGGTTAAGCGCATACTCATTAATTAAATTACTTCTTTCCAATTTATTATTAAATCTATCGGTTAATAATCCCACTCACATGTATCTCAGCGATCTCAGAGTGTATTTCAATGTAAAATTGTATTCAGAGTAACCTGAAGGGGGATGGAGGAGTACTAAAATCGTAGAAAGAATTAGTGGATTATGCCAACACTACCAACCTTGAATTTACTGTTGACCCGAAGGTTTTATTCCACGGTTGATTAATTTACAGCTGTCTGCAAATATTTAAGTTGATCAAGTGCAAGTGACTGCCATGGGAGTGTGCAGATTGGTTCTTTGACAACATTATGACGTGATCATATTGCTTGCGTAGACGATACAGCATGTCCCGGCAGAAATACAGCATTTTGATAACTGAGCATACGCTGAACCGTGAACCTGTCTCGTCTGATGACGTAGTTGTAATCTATCAGGTTAAAAACTCTTCTGCCCGAACATTGCTTTTAAAAATATTCGTAATACAGTTGTAGCAATTTTACTCTTTGAATTTGATTGTTAGGCCTCGGTTCAAATATTGGCTTTCGCATCTGCCGAATATAAAAATTCATTTGCACCGGGTCTCATCTCAGCTTCGACGATGAAATTTATTAATATCACAGTGAGGTATTCATATGTGTAGTCAAAAGGTGACGTGAAATTATTCCCCAATTTCACGAGTGTGCCATTTACCAAATACAATGGGTGACAAATTACGCTTACAGTCGTAGGTTTTTGCCATGTGTATTGCATTGATGGAAAAGTCCACGCTCTGAAACGTTAATTGCATAAATTTTGGCAAGTTCATAATTTTCAGAATTTTTATTCAAAATACCTAGATAGAATTACTTTGATGTGCTCTTTTGTTTGTTTAGATTTTTCAAAGCGTCTTTCAATTCCCTGACATCTTCATTCACATTATCTTAAAACCTAGAGGCCATCTTGGCACTGAGGTACGAAACGTTGTCGCGGCAATTTTGTAATTTCACCTGTGAAATTATAAAATAACGCTGAAATTTGTCACCTATGATATTCTAAGTTCAATAATATTAAGATAGTCTTCAACTCGACACCAGCTGGCAGTAGTCTCAAATGTCATCCGTTTCTTCGCCCCACCCGCAAAGGGCGGCAAGTCTCTGTCGTCTTGCCGCCCGTTGGGGGATAGGGCGAAGAGACCGATGACGTTTCAGTTGACTACAGCTGGTAGTTGTCTCAGAACTTGAAACTGCAAAAGCAATTTTACAATATAGTTGACAGGCCTCGTGTAAACCCGTCGTCTCTTGCAGTTTTCCGGTTATTAGAATTTAGTATTTACCAAATCAGTGAATAGCAATTTTCGCGCGTTTTTATTGGCTCCCGTAACTCGGAATATCCTTGGCTATTCACTGTTTTGCGACCGGAGCCAAGGTAGCTCTTGTTTCAAGACATTCTCGGAAGACTAAATTTGAGCGATAAATGAAGCAGTCGTACAAACAAATACCAAGAAAGCGACGAACTTTGGATTGTTGGTGTTTACTGGTACGTAGGTAAAAATTATTTTCATACTGAATTTGCAAAAAAAATCGTAAAAATACACTTGACAAAAGCACCGAAAGTTTTGCAAATTGTAAACAAAGTTCCTACTAAAGGACGTTTTTAATTCACAAAAAGTTATTTTTTTTGTTTTCATCCAACTGATTTGGTAAATACTAAAACAACTACCCCCTCAGGGTCGGTGAACAGCACTAGATATATACCTCGACGTTTCGCGTTCCGGTGTCTATTAACACTATTCACCTCCCCTTCAGGGGATAGTTGGGTCAGTTAGGGAACTGACCCAACACGTAACGCCAAACGACTTCAGAGGTTGGCGAAAAGGACGTTGGGAAAACGACTCGTGGGCGAAACGATCGTAAACCATTAAAGATTCAAGCTCTCATCTCATTAGTTTGTTTTACCTTCTGTTTGATGTTCCGAGGCTTTGATATTAGGAGAAAATGTGGTCAAGTCAGGATGCGAATTAAGCCCTATTTATTTGGAGAAAACATGTTCGGAGTAGAAGGGTCACCCTCGCGCCTACCCGAGCTACCTTGGACAAACCAACGTTTCCAACATTTTCTTACAAAACTTGGCGAACCGTTTACACGAGAAACAAAAAGCTTGCCGGGTCACCCTCCTGCCCGGGCCAACGTAGTCTCCTTCGCAGCCGTTATTAGGGTCGTCACTCGTCACTCGTTATTAGGGTCGTTAGTGGGGAGGAGCGTTGCGTGACGAGTGACGACCCTAATAACGGCTTAGTAGAGTTCAATACCAGAATAGATCTCCGCTTAAGCCTCGAAGTATTAGAGAGATCTAATTTAGAGTAACGTTTCCGGCAAACTTCAGGTTCAAACAAATGTTTGATCATTTGGCCATACAATGTTGGACGAAAATGTTTGATCGTTAAGCCGGAACCTAAAATTGGTTTTCAGTCAAGCGAGCCAAAGTGTATAAATGGAGAAAAGTTAACCCGGCTAAGAGAGTGACCTTACCATCCAAAAAACGGTGACCCGTAGTATTTTTCATTGACAAACTTAGCCTGTGTTTCTCGGTTTTTCTCAAGATGAGTTTCCTGCCTTCCTGTAGATAGTAAGGAAAGTGCGTGAAATATTGTTAGAGATGATTTGAAACCCGGAGTTTAGGCACACAAGTTTTAATTCAAGTTAATCAGGCAGCAAAAACACTCGAGACTTGAGAAATTAAAATTAGATTTAAGTAGAATGAAGATCTAAACAGCAAAATGTCTACACAATTAAAAATGTGTTTAGTATTAATAAGAAACTGCTACAATACACCAATACACTCGTAAAATTATCACGCCATGGTCCTAATTTGTTTTTTTTAATTCTGTAAGAACAAGCCGGGCCGTTCGTTATTAGTAAGAGTTCTATAAAAGCCGAGCTTCAATCTATTTGTTTAAAAGGTCAAACCCCTTTAAGTGATCAACGAGTAAATTTCTCCTTACACAAGACAATGAAGTATAAAGGCGTACGAAAAAAGAATGTTCATTCGTACCAAAGAAAATGCGTTGAGAACAATGTGGAGAATATGGGTTATGGTAATTTTTTTTTCAAGAATAAAAAATATTTCAAACTCAGTAATACACTATTTTATGGAAGTTGCTATCAATGAATCATTTTATATACGTAAACTCAAAGATGGCTATAGGCTGGCTATAGTGAAAACGAGCTTGACGAGTATAGTATTAGTTATCAGCACACGATTTGAACACACTGAAGTCAATTTAACTCTGTCTGGCATGGAGAGGCTTTCAAACAAGTCAACCCAACTGATATAAATATCAAATTATCATCACTGTTGTCGGCACTTTTGTCATCAACTATCGGGGAAAATCTTTTGACTCTGGTGACGTTACCTGTCTCCATGTATTTCTACTAATCGTATTATGTTAGTTGTTTTGCAAAAGCATTTGATAAGCGGATTGCGTCAATCGCATCCTTAGCCTTCTCTCAGAAGACACTCGTTTACTACAAGAATTAAAATTGTCTAGTTAAATTAACAGTTAAGCAGCTAGTTTACAGTTTTTAGTATGCACTGGTTCCAAACCAATATTACTTCTTTTGTCCATTTATAACTTAATTCCGAGAGGGTTGAAGATCAATCATGCCACTCTTAATGTTACAATGTACTTTCCTCCTCTTCCACTGCCCCCGCAGGATTTCTAATCAGCGGTTTCCGGGCCACCGTGGGAGTCACATGTGGGCTAGGTTCCTCCTCAGAATCTGTTTCGTAAACATCCAGTAACTCTTTGAGGGGCCTCATGGCATATGTACGGGGATGGTCAGCGCCCTCATCAGGGAGGTACTTGTTGGACGGCTCCACCGCGGTGCCCTCACGATAGATTTCTTCCACTTCTGACTGTCTCTTCTTTCTTCGCCGACAAACCACGATTATAATAAGCAGGAGGAAAAAGAGAAACAGGAACGAAGAAACAGAAATGACGATTATTTCAGTTGGTGTGAGCTCTTCCTCTTTCTCTTCTGGCTCTCCGGGGCATTTAGGGAATGCGTCGTACGTACCATACAGTTTACACTCAGGGATGTTAAGCATCTTCTGGCAGTAAAAACCGAACAAACTCACTGAAAGCTTGTAGTGTGCAAGGTTTCCGGAATCGGCAACGTCTGTGAGACAAGACTCGTAATAAAACAGTGCTTGGGATACCAGAGTCTTACTGCAATGTTCCTGCAGCACACCTTCAAAGAACTGTTTGTAGCACAGACGCAAAGCTAGTTCTTCAAGAGTTGCATTCTTGAAAACCAAGCTGTAGTTTGCTGAGGGTGTCATATGTACACCTGATGGAGCCCAGCCTGGGGAATCACCGGAATGAACAAAGAACTGCACGGTACTGACATTAACCGCTGGGTTCTCCTCCAGGGAACTGATCGTGTCTACCGGTAAAATAGTGTAAAAGTGGCCCTCTGTTGTTAGTCCCATTCCTTCATCCATGGGCACGCTTAGCACCAGTCCTTCACGGTAATCATCAAACTTAGCGGCCATTGTTGAATTGAGTTGATTTAATGTCTTGGCATACTGCCATACCTATTGATCACAAAAAAAGTTATTCCACTTTCGTCTACGCAACCACTAACATAAAGAAGGACAACTAGTACATGTAATTAACACGTCAATAAAAAAGAGGTAAAAAATATTAAAAAGAAGTGATAAAAGGGGAAAAAAGCTAATTGAAAATGGACCCTGTTGCATAGACTGTGGAAATTCATTATTGTCAAAGCTGGCCGGCCAGCCCGTTGAGTCGCAAATAGAATTTCACTGTCAATTACGACTTCTCAGTCAGAGCAGTCTATTCCAGGATAATATGACAGCAGTGACGGGTTTTAGTGAAAAAAATGGAGAAAAGACTGTTTTATTTCCAAAATGATCGGTCCGGTCGGCCAGTTCTGACTCCTGGTAAGCGCCCATATGTTATGCCCGTATCGTTTTTCTAGGCGTATAAATATCATCAAAGTATCGCACAATTAATTTTCCTACTGTGAAAAATCAAGAAAAATCCTGAAATTGCAGTTGGAATAAAAATAAACAGCTGTTGAAACAACAATCTACTATTATTACTTCTGTTTGAAATATTTTTTACCTTGAACTCGTCCAGTGCTCCACGCATATCGTACTTGCTGTCCATCATGTAGCCTCGAATATACCGCCCAAATATAAGTACACCGTCAAATGAGAACTGCTTTCCAGTTTTGACGCCAAAAGTTGTTGATTCACGATGTTCCCCTTGCGCGTGCGCATAAGCTTGCAGACGGCCATCGATTGTTCTCCAAGTCACAGCTAAATGCGTCCAAACACCCTCTTGAATGCTTATTCCGGTAACAAATTTATTCTCATCCCAGTTTACCTGTAAACCATCTTTGCAGATGATAGCAAGACCGCCACTACCTGTAGCAGCAGAGAAGATTGCGTGAGTTCCGGCAATTCGTTCTGTTGATAGGTTTTGGCTTGAGGAACAGAAATGGCCAACATTCGAACCCTTATTGACAAGACACACCCAGATTTCTATCGTGAACTCGTCGAGAACAGGCAAGGAAGAGTTACTAGCGAACATAACAGCGGTATTACTGGAAGAAAACTCTAGCATGTAACCTGCTCCGGAAAAGCTGCGCCAGGCATTCTTTGTTGTCAGGAAATTATCCTTCTCTTTGAGTATAAAATTGTCGCCAAATTTAAGATCAAGTGTCTCCTGGCTAAGTACATGTTGATTTACTGTTTCACTAGAAGCATTTGCGAAAGGTTCTTTGGTGGGGTCGGCCAAATGTAGCGCAAGGCTTTTGTTGCTATACTCTCGTATCCATTTGCCCTCTTTCTCTCCACAGATGCCATCTGTCTCAGGTCGCA